CAAGCAACTTCCAAAAAAAAAGTGAGAAATGACAGAATCAGCTGGCTGCCTGGACAGTCACCCATGGATCCTCTGCAATGTTAGCACACCCCTCTTTGGCCTACATGCCTAGAATATTTGACAGACTTTACTGTGAAGCAGGATTTTTGAAGGATTCTCCCTCCTTGTCTAGGCAAGGTTTAGTAGTCACTCTTTTGTGTAGTGCTTGTTCTATTTGGGCAGCATGCCGTCAGCAATCGAGGCAAGAGCACTATCTTGCCTAGTGGCTTACTTTTGTCACAAAGAAAGTAAACTCCCTGTGGAGTTTCTTTGATGACCACAATCTTCTCCAAAGTAAATTGGTGCTGCCAGGAGCAAACATGTCTCATTGTCATTAAAAAAACAACAACAATATTATTAAAACATTTTTAATGCCATAATTCATAGTTCACTGGAGTGTTTGAAGATGACCTGTCTCAATAAAATATATCTCCTTTTAACCTTGAAAACATACTTAATATGACTACAAGTTTCATTGTAATAGGTGACTAATTACTAACGTGAATTTTCTTATCCTAAACAGTTGGCAATAATAACTTTCAAGAACTAGAAATTTGCATTACATTATTAAATGAGTTGTATAGGTATAATAACTTGAACAAGAGTAGAAATGTATGTACAGCATGTTTCAACAAAATTAATCTCAAATTTGTATACAAAATTTGTATACAATATACAAAGTTTCAATCCAATGTAAAATATTTAATACTAGTAGTCGCTTTTTAAAAATAGATTCAACAATCTATGATTTTTTATTTTTTTAAAAAGAAAACAAACTATCTTTTTTCACTATACGTACTAATTCAAGTTCTCAGTCCCTCCTCTCCTCCCATTCCTTCCACATACCCTCCCACCCCACCCCCATCCACTCTCCAGAGAAAGGAAAGGCACATTGCTTTGGGGAAGGTCCAAGGTCCTCCCCACTATAACTAGACTGAGCAATATATCCAACAATCTACTTTTTTATCTTATCATATCTACATCCTCCCTGTATTCTTTTCAGA